GGCACCACGGGGCCAGACCGGGAGGGCACCACGGGGCCAGACCGGGAAGGCACCTCACCGAGTCTCCACTGAAGTCAGGGCTGAAGAAGAGAAGAAAGGAGAAAGAAAAAAAGGAAAAAAAACAGAAAGAAATGGGCAGAGCAGACAGGCTCTGCTGAAGCATCCTACTTCACCACCATCTTGGAAATGGTAGCAGCCCATGTAATGACAAGGCCTGGTTTGTGGGGCTTGGGGTCAGGACATGGGAGAAGGTGCTCAGACCCTGAAGTTATTGAACTCAATATTAAGTCCGGAGGGCTGCAGGGTCTCCAAGTGGAAAATGAGGTGCTGTTCTTCCAGCTTGGCACTGAGCTAAAAAAAACCAAAAACTGAAAGAACTGCGGATGCTGTAAATCAGGAACAAAAAACAGAAGTTGCTGGAAAAGCTCAGCAGGTCTGGCAGCATCTGTGAGGGAAAAACAGAGTCAACGTTTCGGGTCTGGTGACCCTTCCTCAGGTTGTGTTGTTGTTGTTGTCGTCATTGGCACTGAGCTTCGCTGGAGCACTGCAGCAAGCCCAAGACAGAGATGTCAACCAGGGAACATGGTGCAGTGTTAAAGGACAGAGAACTGGATGCTCATGGTCTGTTTTGTGGACAGAACATAGATGTTCTGCATCGTGGTCACCCAGTCTGTGCTTCATTTCCCCAATGTACAGGAGACCATGTTGTGAGCAACGAATACAGTAGACAAGAGTGAGCGAAGTGCAAGTAAATCACTGCTTCACCTGCAAGGTGTGTTTGTGACGTTGGATAGTGAGAGGGGAGGAGGTAAGTGGGCAGGCGCTACACATTCTGCAGTTGCAGGGGAAGGTGCCGTGCAGCCGTGGGAGGGGGGTATTGGCAGTGGAGGAGGAGTGGACCGGGTGTTTCGGAGGGAATGGTCCCTGCAGAAGGTGGACAAGGGACGAGAGGGGAATATGTGTCTGGTGTGGCATCCTACTGGAGGTGGCAGGAATGGCGGCTAATGATCCTATGGATGGTAGGTAAGGACAAGGGGTTCCCTATCACAGTTGCAGCAAGTAAGAGAGGGGGGGTGAGGGCCAAGGTGCAGGAGATAGGCTGAACGCGGCTCAGGTTCTGTCAACCATGGTGTTGGGGAATCCTCGGCTGAGGAAGAAGATGGACATTTCAGAAGCTCCCTTGTCAAAGTTGGCACCATCAGAACAGATGCAACAGAGTTGGAGGAACTGGGAGAATGGAATAGAGGAAGTGAGGTGTGAGAATGTATCATTAAGGTAACTGTGGGAGTCGGTGGGTTTATACTGGATATTAATGACCAGTCTATCCCCAGAAATTGAAACAGATGTCAAGGAAGGGAAGGGACGGGTCAGAGATGAGTCAGGTAAAGGTGAGAGTTGGGTGGAAATTAGAAGTGAAATTGATAAACTTTTCCATTTCCGGATGAGAGATGGAAGCAGCACCAATGATGTCATCGACATACTGGAGAAAGAGTTGAGGGTGGGGTCCCAAGCAGGACTGCAACAAACAATGTTATATATACCCCACAAAGAGCTAGGCATAACTGGGGCTCATCCCATGACTACCCCTCTGACCTGAAGAAAATGAGAGAAGTTAAAAGAGAAGTTGTTCAGAGAGAGGATGAGCTCAGCCAAGTGGAAGAGGATGGTGGAGGGTAGGGATGGTGCAGGCCCTTTTTCCCAGGAAATGGAGAGCCCTGAGATCAACCTTTCAAAAATCTTGGCAATTTTAGTTAATTTTCATGTCTCCTTTTACATTTCTCAGCGCTAAGGAGAACAATCCCAGCTTCTCCACAGAACTGAAGTCTCTCATCTCAGGACCATTCTAATAAAACTCCATAGCACTCTCTCCAAGCCTCGGCCTCCTTCCTAAAGCATGATGCCTGGAATCAAACACAATAACCATCAGCAAAGCCCTAACAGTCTTTTATACAAGTTTAGTCAAATGCACTTACTTCAGTACCCTCTGCCTCAATTAATACAGCCATCATCTTCTGAAATAGTAGGAACTGCAAATGCTGGAGAATCCGAGACAACAAGGTGCAGGGCTGGATGAACACAGCAGGC